AAAGGTTTAATAAAGCACACCTAACTAACCTGACAGAGGGTTAATTTAAAAAAAAAAAAAAAAAAAAAAAAAAAAATGACAACTTATTTTACTTGCTTAACAATCTATATGAAATCGATATACAACTTATTCTTAAATCTATTAGCAATAAAACTGGCTTAATTTAATTATGATCCATAATCTCTCAAACAAATATCTTTATAAATATTATAGTAACTCAAATAATCAATGGAATTTAAGTAAAAACAATAACAAACTACAATTATTTTTTTATATCTCTGATTCCTAGTATGAACAGTGGACTATTCTGAATAATATAATTGAAAATACTATACATTATATTAATATAATATACTTCATGTTCAAAATACTTAAGACTGAGTTTATATTATACATTAATAAAAAAATTTAAAGTTTAATATAGTCACATAACTAAAGGATGTCTAAATCTAGCAAAAATCAAAAACATTAATCTATTGTTTAATAAAATTGAAGGTAGGTTCATTTTATCAATTATTTCAATATATACAAGTTTATCTTCTTACAAGTTAGCTCAATTTTCTACTTCATCACTTATTAATAACAAAATAGGACTTAGCATTATATATTGAATAAAATTTGTCAACTCATATATCAAGCTATTCTTAATTATTCTGAGTAACAACTGTATCTATAAACTTGACAATATCTCTAACTTCTTGTAGCTAAAGGAAACCAATAAAAGTTGCTGATAAATGAACAAATATAATTATAGAGCTTTAACTATCTTTAGAATAAAGTTGCTATTTAGCTTATTATCAACAAGAAATAAATTTCACAACATATATTTAATATTGTATAAAGATTCAAGATGTTCCAAATGTGACTATACAATAGAAGATTAGATCTACATATTCAACTGTATAAAAAGTAGAGAGTTGATAAAAAAAAACTACTTAAACTTAACAAAATAATAAAAAAATATCAAAATCAAATACAAAATGAGTTAATAATAACAATGTCTAAATTAACCAAAGAAAATACTTTATTCAATATAGTCTTAAGAAAACTCCTAAATTTATTAAACAACAAAAAACTACAAATTTAATTGATGAATAATTTACTAAAAATCTTTTACAAAAGTTGAAAACAAAGATCCACTATAACTAATACCTTACCATTAATGAAATCAAATGAAAAAATACAAAAGCAATATATCTAATAATGTGTTCCTAAAGTATTTAGCATATAAAATTTTACAGATCACTTATGTCTCTTTTTAAGGGACAAAATTCATAGCTTTTTATTTTAATAGGGACAAAAATCAGGAAATATTATAAATCAATAATTTGAATGATGAAAAACAATTGTGGATAGTTTTTTTATAATTATTAATTTAAAAATTTTAATGTTTTTCTATGAGGAACATTTGATTTTTGTCCCTGACTTTTCCTTTAGGGACCCATCTTTAAATTCAATCAAGGTAAAAATAATATAAACAATATTTATATTTTAAAAATTATTATTGAGTTATTGAATATATTAAACAATCCTACACATAAATCAATTTTTCTATCCTCAATAATATCATTATTTTTGAATGGGCATTAGCCATTTGACCCTATTTTGGTGAATATGGATACTGTTTAATAATGTGACACAATAGGAAAATTGCAATAGACTATAGTTAATTTATCAATGTAAAAACTATTAATGTAATGTTTAAGAATTAAATTTCTAATAAAAACCCATATTTAATGCTCATTTGCGATAAAAAAATAAAAAAAAAATAAAAAACAATAATAGAATATTATCATAGCTGATAACTTATTTATTAAATATATTGTATTTAATAAAACAATAATAAAATATTGTTGTAACTAATAACTTATTTTTAAATATATTGTTTTAGTTACTTATTATATTATTACTAAAATACTTTAAAAATCAAATATACATCTCAAGATTTTTTAATTTAAAAAAAATTACTTGCATATATTTATAAATATTTATTGATTGAATTTGAATAAAAATTTTTATAAGTCAAATTAAATCAAATTTTACAATACCTAGTAATTGAAACCTTTAATAAATTTTTTAAATTTCAATCGAATATTTTTTTTAAAAAAAGGTAAATGAACAAGCTTAAAAAATAAAAAAAAATCATTATTTATAACTTTATAACAATGGTCTCAACTATTAATGTTTTACATCTTTCTTTGACTTTTGAAATCTTTATTAAAATATATAATTAATTTTAATTATTCATTAACATATTTTGGCTTAAGGACTTCGAAAACAAATTTGATGTATTCTTGCTTCGCATCCTCCTGACTTTTTCCTTTAAACATTTGAAAACATCTTTTTTTAAAAAAAAAGATAATAGTGTTGGCAGTGATTCGAAAGAAGAGTATTTACCTTCATTCGCTTTCCAGGCTTTCCATTTCGCATTTTTTTCCATTTGGAACATGGAAGGTTGAGCTAAATATTTAAGCGTATAAATAATTATCATTTTAAACAACGAAAACAAGATGAGAGTGTTTTGATAGTACATGTATTGTTGTCCCCTATCTCTGCTTGCTTAAACAAGCCATACCCCAATAGCGATTCGTCGTTAGAAAGCTTATTTGCTTTGAAAAAGGTTGAAAATAAGTATTGTGCTTCGGTATACATGTCCTGTTGCTGAAAAGTGTTTTAGGAACCTTGCAAATTTACAAACAATAAAATATTTCGAAGGAACTTACTTCCTCCATTTCGTTGAAAAATTTATGACTAGAAAATAACACTCAGATTGGTTATATCTGAAAGTTCACCAGATCAACGATTGTGTAATCAATTTTGGAAATCATCCCGAATGACTATCATTTAAATATTAGGCGATGTGGCTAGTCTCTCTTACAAAGATAATCATACGTGTGATAATGATAACCAATGTCTTTTAAAACTAGCCGATTATTATTCCACCGGTCCGTTATCCATAATATACAGTATAAGGAAGAACCATTATAAAAAATACATGGATGCCGATTACGAAACTAATCGGCATCGGTGGGGCTAACGGTATACGTGACTGATAGAATGACTCAGTCTGATCTAGATAATTGAATGCCAAAAATGTGGGATTAAGTGTGGCACATATGGCACATTTTTGTATCACCATTTCATTTACATCAGGCAAAGTAATCGGATTTTCGCTGCCTTTTTTTTTTTTTTAAAAAAAAAAAAAAAAAAAAAAAATTAAACGAAACCTACATACAGTACATCAAGTGACATTGTTTTGATTTTTGCTTGTTAAAAAAGGTGAATCAATTGAATTTAATTTCAACTCCATGAGATTGAGGATAGATTAGATAATATACATGATTAGTTTATCTTGTATTTTTACTTCGTTTTATGGCTATTAAAAATGTGTCATAAAATCAGAAGCTTTGCAATTTTATAAGAATAAATATCCGAAAGATACGTACTCGCTTGGTCTGAATTCGACATCAGTCTTGTTTAATTTTATTTCTTTGGTTCCTGTGATGGCGGCTTTTCTGGAACCTCATACATATCCCAATTCCTCTGCGAATTGTTCATCTGGCCTGGAAAACTCATGGAACCGGGTTGTTGCTGCTGTACATCCATGAATTGTTGTGGTGGTTGTTGAAATTGCTGTTGTTGCTGTTGCTGTTGCTGCTGCTGTTGCAACAGTAATTGTTGTTGCTGTTGTGCATAAATCTCTAACTGTTGTTGTCGATATAATTGCTGTGGATCCGGTTGCGGCTGTCCGAAAGATCCAACCGTAGAAACAAACGCACTAACATTCTGATTACTACTACTACTACCACCACCACCACCAAATGCAGGTGCCCCAAAGGCCGGAACTGCACTCGGAAATCCTATTGGATTTGGGTTTGGATTTTGACCAAATCCAGACGGCGCACCAAATGCGCTTGGTTGGTTGGCACTATATGTTCCAAAGGAACTTTGAGGGACTCCAAACGTTTGTTGCTGAGGGAATGGCGAAGGGCGCGGAGGTTGTGGTTGGCCAAATGTATTGCCTTCATTACCGTTAGCAGATGATCCAAAAGCAGATGATTGTTGTTGTTTCGATTGTGATTCAAATCTATTCAAAATAGATCGCGTGTCTTTAAGAATAGCATCGATTTTCGTTTGCATTCGACTCTCAAGGTCCCCAACACCACTTTGCTATTTGATTTTTTGGAAGAAGGTATTGAAATTATCTACCATATCCTTGCCGCAATATAGCTTAACTGACTCCCATCCCCTTGCTTTCGAAGAACTATAGATGCAATTTAAAAAAGAAAGAAAAAAATCGGTCCAAAAAATGTTCACGAAATACATACGTAGTTCATATCATTTCCGTATGATCCCATAATTATATAATATTGTAGTCGTAACTCTTCTGGTGAATAGTCCGTACCATCAATTAAATTATGTTCGTCTTTAGCTGGTCCATAGACCGAATAGCGGTATATAGGTCGTTCCTTAGCTAGATCCAATTTCACGCTTTTTTCACTGTAATCAGATAGACAATTCAGTTGATCTTTCGTTGCAGAGTTTCCCGTAAAAATTACTTACTCATATGGTTTACTGTTTATTTGATTTTGAGAGTTATCCACTAAATAAAAAAAGAGTTTGAATGAATTATTTCCTTCGAAATCAATTTAGAAAGAGTATTCCGCATTTTCGATTCTAACCATATCTAATACGAGTATATATATCATTGCGTGACTGGCTATAACGTTGATTTCCTGGATGTTCGTCTCGGCACGAGTTTCCAAATCTACAACGCCCTTCCAGATAATACTTGCAAACAGTCATTCTGTTTTTTTTTTCTTTGAGCAAGTGAAAATAACCGTAATTTAAAACATGCCGATCATCGGTCCAATCATTCATAACCGCAGAAACGTCACGGGTTCATAATTTCTCCTCTTTTTATGCTTATATTTTTTATATAACTTTAATTATACAATATAGTATGTTACTTTTTTTTTTTTTTGCAATACCCGTAGCCAGGTCAGACCGTAGTTTATTAATAAATTGAATTCATTTGAGTAGCATGGTACATACTATAGTTAAGAATCTTTCTAGTTTACATATTATTAATTACCTTATATCTTATTATTATTATTTTTTTTAAACCCATAATCAAGACTAGCACTATATGTTTATGTTTATTAATCATTAAGAAAACTAATAGAGATACATAGAGCAATTGCATAATAGTTAAAATAAATCTTTTACTGACTTACTTATTGATAGTTTTTACAGTCTGGTACAAAAAAAACTGGAATTTGTTTTTTTTTTATTACACAATAATGGTCATATGGAATTATATGAACTTTTATTTATATGTAGTTTAGTAAATGTATTTT